GAAAGCAAATCACCACCATTACCGTGGCCATCGGCAGCAACCGCCTAAGAGCTACCAAATTTGAGCTCTCACCTCGTGTGAGTTCGCGGCGTTGGAGGCAGACCTGAGCTTTCAACCTGGGGCTTCCCTGACATCCGTCATGTAATTCTCACAAGCTCCTGATGTGAGTTCCATCCTGCCCGGTTCTGCCCATGAGAAGCTCCTGCTCACCCCGGCTGGTCACGGGGGCAAACCGCCAGAATCCACACGTAGAGCCCCTGATTCACCACTCAGCTTCCAGCCTCTGCGTGAGTCAGGAGTGGGGCAGGGCTGGGGGACCAGGGGGGCCCCCAGGGGACCCCAGAGGGCTCACGTGAGGGGATGGCAGAAGGTTCCAGAGGACAAGACAATGATCTCTGAAGCTCCTTCATTACATTTCAATTGATCAAAACTGCCGCAGGAAACCCACTGCATTTGAAGAAGAAATAAAGAAACAAGACAAGCACTAGCTTGTCTCTGTGATCCATCAAAGTTTCTTCCATGTGGGTGACAGAAAAAGGGTTTTGTGGTCAGAAATGTAACAAGGAAATTATTTTTACACCAGTCCTTCTGCATAGTTTTTCACAGACAGCAATTTTATAAGGCATAATTATCTATTTTCACCTGCCTCATAAATTTCTCCTTTCCATTTCGTCCCCCAGTAAACTAGAAATTATTTAAAACGGAAGATGTGCATTTTGGTGCTTGGCTTCACACTGCCGTGCAGTTTGTCGCGCTCCTGGCGGGCCCCTCTCTCCACCAACCCTGTCACACGGGCCGAGCCATCAGACCCTCCTGTGAAAAGAAGCATGTCTGACCCTGAGGAGGGGAACAAGCTCCTGCTCCCCGAGGACTGAAAGCCAGTCTTGCTGGCCACCGCTGCTGCCCAGCTTCCCGGCCCCTGGGGAGCAGCTGGAGTCTGGGATGCTCGGGCTGCACCTCCCCCCTCCTTCCACAGTGCATCCGGTCCCAGTGGCTAATTGCCTCTTTGTCTTTCTTTTTTTTTTTTTTTTTTTAAGATTTTATTTATTCACTTGAGACACAAAGATACAGAGAGAGAGAAAGCATGAGCAGGGGGAGAGGCAGAGGGAGCGGGAAAAACAGACTCCCGCTGAGCCAGGAGCCTGATGTGGGGCTTGATTCCAGGACCCTGGGATCATGACCTGAGCCAAAGGCAGACACTTAACCATCTGAGCCACCGAGGTGCCCCGCGCCTCTTTGTTTCCATTAGGCCAGGGTGCCTGTGTGGTCTGGGGCCACACCGTGGATTCTGCTGGGATGCCCAAGGGAGGTGTCCACCTGGACTCTCCATGAGAATGTCACTTTTATTTTTAGAGCTCCAACATCCTCTCATGCTGGAAGCTTCCATATCTGCTGTAATCTTCACGCTTTCCAGGGATGTAACCAAAGCAAGTTCTAACATCGATTGAGAGTTTACTATGAACCAGGCATTGGGCCAAAGACTCTATAAAACTATTTTGCTTAATCCTGGCAGAGGTGTGAGGATGATGGAGAAGGAAGAAGGGACGTATGTGCCCCGAGAGCAGTATCAGGAACATCATCACGCTGAGGCACAGGGCCCATTACTCAGAGTTCATACCAGTCCCTGTGACACTGCTTTGGGGTTCACCCAAATCCCTTCTGAGTCCATAAAGCTCATCAAGGACAATGTTGGACACACAGGGCTGCTGCCAAGGACTCTCAGAGGTCAAGGGGGTCCTGGGCTTTCCCAGGAAAATAAGAAGAAAATGAAGAAATGCCCACACACGGCTACACAAGCCATCAGGCACTCTAAATGTTTAGATTAATTGAGAATAAATTAACACTATAAAACTACTATGAATATATATGTGCTGGTCCCAGGAGACTAACAGGATTCATTAAAAATACTAATTTTACTGCACTATAGATATTTTAGCTTTGTAAAAGAACACATTTTAAATCATGGGATTCCTTATAAAATCTTCAATATTGTCAGGGAATGAGTATGATTGATGATATAATCTCCTTTAAAGATGATGGCAATGGGCCAAGCCTGAGGCCCTTCCAGACTTCAAGGCCTGGGCTCTTAGACATTCCTAACACCCACCTAGACATTGCAGAAGCCCACTGAAGGAGGGAGCTCCCACCTACCTGGGTCTTCTCTGTGCCCCGCTGGGCCACAATGGCTTCCTGGTTGGATGGATGGAGAACCTCACTTGCAAAGTAAACAGGTAACTGTGCCCTCCCCACCCCAAACACCATCTCCCAGGCTTGGCCGGGCCCACGCCTGGCTGCCTTGCTCCACCTGAGGAAGTAGTCGGGGACACCAAGGCTATAGTGCAAGGCCATGCCTGGCCTCAAAAGCTCCAGATATGCTCCTTGTATCTGAAAAATTATTTACTGTGGTGATGTGCGATGTCTTTTTAAGAGAACAGATGGCACCTCCAATTAGAATGCTTTAAAAGGAAACCCTAATGAGATTATAAAAGCCAACAAATTGACTTTTTCATACAGTACTTCCCTGGCACACAATAAATCAAATATATAATGACGCTCAATAAAATAATAGGTTTATTTACACTCGTTTTGCCTACTATTTTGTTGCAGCCCAGCCTGGCCTCTGGGTCCCTCATCAAGGGCTTGCCCCTGCAGACCAGGACCAGGGGCTGGAAAATCCATCCACAAGCCGTTCTGGGGCCTGACCACACAGACAAGTGTGGCTTTGATTTGGCAATTTCTGGTCTGCCCCTAGTGTTCTATATCTGGGGGCATAAGAGCACAGAACCATGGAAAGGGTGTGGGGACACATTCAGGCAAGTCTAGCACTCATCCCCACTCTGGATAAGGTGGGGAGATTTTAGTGGGGCCACACAGGGCAAGGAAGGTGTGCTTACCCCTACAGGTAAGTGGACCATAGATGGGAGAGAAAAGCCTGTGAGGTGTGATTTTCATGAGGTGAACTTGGGATATGGGCAGGCGGAGCAGAATGAGGGTCTGCAATGTGCAGACTGAAAGCTTTGGGACATTGTTATTTATTCCAGGAATTGGTCCTATTGGTTCAAGTGCATCAGGTTAGATGGCTGGAAGATAAAACTTGAGAGATGGACGGGAGAGGTGCTGTATAGCCAGGAAGACAGCTCACATCGGCATTCTGAGTATTTGGTTATTGGCCTACCATCCGTGTAGGTGACCTTAGGCAGGACTGGATGGATTTACAGGGTGTGTCTGCTGAAGTGGGAATCTGGGGGCCCAGACTTCTATCTGCATGATTAATCTTGCAGAGGCAGCCCGGGCAGTGAGACAGAGTTCATGGCATAAGCGAACGGGAATGGTTTTAGGAGGGAAGCTGTGAGACCCTGGGTATATGCTTTGGCACTCATGGAGACTAGTCTTTCATATGAACATACAGGCAGCAGTGATTCAGCTTCGGAAGAAGCACATTAAACAATGCTTCACATGCTCACAGAGACCCACAGGGGAACCTCAGAAATCAGTGGGGATGATACCGCCACAGGAAGACAGGGACTCCAGTCAGGAGAAATGGAATAATTTCTGTTCATATCAAGCACCGGAGAGGAAGGTCTGGGGAAAATCCATTTACAAGAGGATGAGCTTTTCCTCGGTTCAAATCTATAAACATTGATCGATTTCAGAACCTTGACCTAGAAGACACTCATTCCTCTTCTTTCCCCAGCAAAGGTTACATACACTGCAAGGCCAGAATTAAGAAATTCTTCTATTCAGAGCTGAGTCATTTTTTCTGTCCATCAAACTGCAAGTGTGTATGAAACATTCCCTCTGTGTCCTTCTATCCTGGGGGTGGGAGGAAGGGATTCGGTTCAAAGAGGTGAAGGGAAGTCTAGGGAGTCAGGCAACAGCATCTAATGCAGAAGAAAGTTGTAGCATAACTAGAGGCTGACCTGGAACACTGACTTCCAAATATGATGAGAATACTAAAAAAAAAAAAAAAAATCATCCGTGTTTCAGGGCCACAACACTTAGGAGAGTGGGAACAAGTTCTCTAAAGCACTGTGCAGGAAGAGTTAGTGCTTTTTATCTCCCCATGATTGTGGGGAAGAAGAGTGGGACAAAATTCTCCCCTCTTCTCTCCCTGACTCCCGCCCAGGGAACGGAGTTGCCCTCATCCACTTTTGGCAAGATGACTGCCCTTCCCTCCACAACAGAGAATGGGAGAGTGGTGAAGCTGATGCATTAGCCCCAGAACCTAGAATTTCTGCCTCAGATATGCATGCTGTGGCCAGAACTCTGGCCTTATCATTTGGCAGGGGCAAAGGTGCTGCACTTTACTGGGCACTGGAAGGGCACTGGAATTATTACAAAATAATTGAGCAATTAATAAAATTATTAGACTTTGAGAAGAGCCTGGACACTGAGATACAGGAAGTGCAGTGAAGATAGAGAATACTGTCAGCTGTCAGGACCAAGGGGGCTTCTTGGATGAGGTGATTAGGAATTGTTGCAACAGCCTAGTGGATCTTGATTTTGCATTCAAGACCTCTCGAGGCTGTCATTTTTAACATCTGGAGGGCAGAAGTTGTCTTGTTTCAGTGGGAGGAACACTCTCCCATTTTTTAAAAGATTTTATTTATTTATTTGACAGAGAGAGCACAAGCTGGGGGAGGAGCAGAGGGAGAGGGGAAAGCAAGCTCCCCAGTGAGCAGGGAGCCCGATGCGGGGCTTGATCCCAGGACCCTGGGATCACGACCTGAGCCGAAGGCAGATGCCCAGTCAACTGAGCCACCCAGGCACCCCAACACTTTCCCATTTGAGAGGAGGAGGTAAGAAAGAACATAGTAATCTTGACCTCGTGCTATTAAGCAGAAGGGCTCTGCGTACCCTGCCCAGGAGCTGTCCGCTTCAGCACCACAATCAGCATTTCTGCTTTGTACTGCAATCTCGTGTTTTAGTCTCCCCTGCCCCACAACTTGCACTCTCAGGGAACCAAACTCCACAGCCCAGAGTCCTTACTAGACACTTACTAGTGCATGCCACTTCTGGGGGGTCAAAATCCGCTCGGTAATAGCCGGTCCGACAGGTACAGATGGGAGATGCCTCTGAAGGGGATCTGCTGTTGGAGGGGCAGTGGGAGCACCCCTCAGCTTCCTGGCTGGCCTTGAACATCCCGGCGGGGCAGGCTGGAACACAAAGAGACCATCTGAGAATTAATGGAAGAGTGGCAATCAGAATCCCTTCCTTGGATATAGAAAATGAAAGATCCTGCCCCCTTGAAAAGGACATTGAGATACCTCCTTGCACAAAGTGAGCATTTCAGATTGAGGAAACCCCTATTTAATACTTCCAATTCTTTAAACATCCTTAGTGAAATATACCTTCCATGGTACCAATGGCCTATCTCACTTGAACAATATGAATAATGATTCTTCCCTTTCAGGTGTGTCGAGAGATTAAATTGAGAAAATGAATCTAATGTGTGGCTCAGTGTCTGGGACATAAGTGCTTTAAAAATGGTTATGCCCTCCCTATTCCACCTGGTTAACAGCCAGGGCCTTACCCTGAACCACTCATTGAAAAAAAAATCTCTCCTAATATCCTCGGATGGGGAGGGTTCCTGGCTTATAATATGGACGGGATGCATGGTTCTTAAATGTCATGTTGCAACGCACATGAGGGTCACCGTAAGCTGTGTTAACAAGCACTTGTTATGAATGATGGTAAAGAACTGAAATTCATGAGTGATTCTTTAAAAAGAAATTAAAGTGATTTCAAGGTTACTGGCTTAACATCATTCTCCCTTAATTGCATTTTGAAATGCTTCGGGGGGTGTGGCCAAAAAAAAAAAAAAGAAAGAAAAGAAAGGATGGCTTTACAGGTAGCACCAGGGAATGTGTCATGCACTTGGTGTTGTCTATCATGTATATGGCAGTGGAGAAGGTTGGGAATGCCTTGGACAGCCCAATGCCCACTAGAGGTAGCCTCAGACATGAGGCATATTTTCTTAGTTCTCTGTGTGGTCAGCTTATGAGGAGCCATGCCCCAAAAAGTCTAGCTTCAGGCCATCCCTCAGGCTTTCACCATGCTTCATCTACAGAGACCTTCTACTCCAGACATCTGGTGTCCTCCTTGCAGATTCCTCAAAAGACTGCTCCTGCCTGTCCTACTTCTCTGAGGCCCTTCCTCACCATCACAGCTCTGGACTCTTTTTGTCCCTGGGAAATCTGCTCTGACTCAGCCTCCTTGGAGACAGAGTAAAACTTACTGCATGGTTAACTTATTTGACTTTTCATTAATTCATTCAACAAACATTTATTGTGACTCTTCTGAGAATCTGACCCAGAGAATTTAGAGAACAGAGCCTGCCCTCAAGGAGCTCTTGATCCACTGTAGTCATACAATTATAATACAATGTGATTGTTGCTGTAACAGAAGTACCATTATAATGGCTTCTACTTACACAAAGCTCATCTTGTCAAATATATTGTTCCCTCCGGAAAGTATAGAATATTCTTTAATAATAGCAGTAGCCACCATCTGTTAAACATTCTTGTTAAGTGCCTTGCATGCATTACTCTATGGGGTAGCTGTTATTATATCTATTTTGCTAATGAACAAATTGGGACACCAAAAGGTTAAAAAAGTTGCCCAGAATCACACAGTGGGAGAAATGATAGTGATGATATACATATAAACTATTTGAAAAATACCCACAGCTTTTCTACTGAGACAAGGAAGGACTATTTCCTGTGCTGGGAAAGTTTTCTCAGCCCTTTGCTCACTTGAAGTAAAGTACAGGGTTTCAGTTACTCTGGAAATGCCCTGGGGCAGGAGCTCATCTCTGATGTGAGGTAATTTCTGAAATGGAATGCTCTGGGATGGCATAACCCAAGAGTGTTCCAGGGAGTCCATGTTCTTTGGGTTGTTAATGCCTGTCACTTACAAAATTGTTCTGTGGCCAGATATTTTGAAAATGTGTATTGAAAAAGTTAATCAAATTTTTTATTACAGAATTTCTCAGAACTTCCAAAAAATGGAATATAGAATGCTCTTTTCTCACCAAGACGCCCAATTTTGTAGAGCATCCCCTGAGATTCAAGTTCCATGGACACACTAACATAAATGTTGTCTAGATGATCCAATAAGGTTCTTAAAGATCTCTGGTTGTAACCTACATAAAAAGGGGCCACTTGCTGACCCACCTCAGCACATTCAAAAGAAACTTCTCAGCAGAAAGAAAAAATTACATTTTTACTAAAGACTCAACAAATAAAATATCATTGGCATCCCTGAGTGGCAAACCCGAAGTAGTGTAGAATCTGGCTTACTGATCTGTCTTTCCAAGCCCACTCAGTAAAGTCTCTCCCTTTCTTTCTCCTCTTCTCTTTCTTCTTTCCACATCTCTTCCTTGTCTCCCATGAGAAGCATTGGACCTTTTCCATTACAAACCACCCAGCGATGCTGGGCCATTCAGTTCTGGAGCTAAAGAACACAGAGAAATCCCAGACCCGTGCTGCCCAAACACAGCAGAAGCCCTTTCCCTGGAGAGTGGGGGAGGAGAGAGTGGTGAATCACATGCATTCATTGAGTCCTCTGTCACACTGTAATTTCCTTAATGTATCAGTCCAAGAGGAACAAGGTGTTTCACTTTCTTTCCAGCATTTAAAAGCCTACTTGCTTTACACTTAATAAGTTAACAGCATAAACAATCATCCTGATATCCACAAGTAGTAGAGGATTTAGGAAGTGCCTTCCTTTGAGATTTCTGATGGGGGAAGTTTAGAACTGTGTCCCCTGAAGTCTCTAGATGCTACAGAGTCCCCAAGGAGAGGAAATGAAGGAAAAAGCAGGTCCACGCTGAACTTCAGGGAAAGAAGGTCAAAGGTTGGGGGTTCAGGGAAAGAAGGTCAAAGTCACAAACCCAGGAGGGGTTGTGACTCCATGCTTTCCAGGACAGTGAACACTGGACAGTGATCAGACAGTCCTGGGTCCCATTCCTGGCTCTGCTGGTTCCTAGCTGAGTGATCATTGGAAAGTTATGTAATGCCTCAGAGCCTCAACCTGCTCATCTGTAAAAAGGGTCTATAGAAAAGAAACACACACTTCTCACAATTCCCACAGGCCATTATAATTTAATAAACTCAAATATGAAAATGTACCTAGCATTAATAAATGTTAAATAATGCTAATTTCTCTCTACTTCTGCTTACCCACTCCCTGTTGAAAACCAAGTTTTCTTTGCAGGAACTTTCAGAATTCAGGGTCAGAATAGAAGTTTAGAGTCCCAAAGCAGGCATATCAATCTTGGAACCAAGTGAAGAATGTGTTTCTGCAAGGATTATTTCTGTTTTGTATAACGGTGAATAATTGTATCTGTAAAATATATTTTACATGTAATTATAAAATGAATGAATCTCCTTAATAATCAGATGCCATAAGTTAACATTTTAATAAAACCTGTGTCTAGGCATCCCCTAATTTATAAAGAAGCAACATTTCTAGGTTTAGTTATTAAACTTTTAGATTGTAACTTGTAAGCACACTTGAGCTATATTTTCTCATAGAATTAATGCTTTAAATAATGGTTAAAGTGCCAGGCTAGCCCACAAAGCCTTTTTAACTCATCTTGTATCAGACACCACTAGTAAGAAATAGAAGTTAACAACATTGTTATTTTACTAGAAATTTAACATAGAAAAATAAATAAGAAAATTATGCTGCCCCTTGAGAAAATGCAGCTTTAATTAGAGGTGATACATGGAGCTTCTGGGGAGACTGTAACAAAGAGTATTTAGGCCAAGGGAAGCAAAAGCAAGCCCAGATAAGTCACGGGAGTAGGTAAAGCCGCTGGGAGTAACACAGTGAAGAATGGCAGGCACTCTGACAGCCTGTAGCCAGCATATTTGCCTAAAAGCTCTACAGTTTCACAAAAGTAATAATACCGTGATCGACTAACCAAGCACATCACCACACTTTCAAGTCATTTTGAGGTAGATAGCACAGTTCTTAGCTTTAGTATCGTTAAAACAAAACTCAGGGCTTTTATATCTCTTGATAGAAAAGTATGGTCAGCACTCTCACTACAGCTATGAATGAACCCCTCATTCAACAAACGTTTACCGAAGAAGATCTGCCTGGAGCCAGGCACCTTGCTTAGGAGGCCAGAGCAGAGGGCAGGAGGTGGGGGGTGGGTGTTGGGAAGCACCCTTCCAGGTGGGGGAGGCAGACAATGGAAGTGAAAGTGGATTCCCGCAGGGCATGATCTGTGTGATCCTTGTGTATACATAGGCTGGGGGCGGGGCGGGGGGGGGCAGTGATCAGCTGGTCAGGCGGGATGTGCATCATGACAAGGATCCGGAATTATGAGATGAGGACCATGAGCAGCACTTTCTTGTGGCAACTAGGAGGCAAGTCTCAGGAGAGGCAAAGACAAAGCAAGAAGGGAAGAGGCGGAAGGACAGGAGAGGCCGGAAGGGAAATGAGGTCAGAGAGTGCCCAGCCCAGCCCGGATGTCAGGATCTCAGCTGGAAGTGTCTCATTTCTACTCCAGGAGGCGGGTGGGAAGAGAAGAGCTGCCTGCGCCTGGCTGTATTGGCACAAGACCTTTGTCAGTGAGAAACCTGTAAGCAGGAGGGCTGTACAGTTCTGTCCCCCACCGAGCCCAGAGCGCTTTGTTTCTGTAAGAAAAGGGGGTTTGCTTCCCTCCATTGCAAGTGATCACAGTTCAGACAGGTGACAAATGGAGGTTTTGGGTGGCACCTCCCCACACAGGCCTCTTTCCCTACCCCCAACCCTGGCAGAGAGGAAGAGACAGGACCCGAGTTCCAGGTCCCCAATCATGTGCATATTTGCCATTGCCCAGGCAAAACACACAGCCTTTATCTCCCCTTTCAAGTGACAAGAGACCGGTACATGTGACCTCTAGCTGATATCTGAAGGTCACCTTGAAACGCCCACCCAACTTCTCAGAGCCTCAACCATGTAACAAATGACCTGGTGCTTACAATGCTCTGGAGAACCCCCCTCCCCTCCCGCCCCTGCGCGCAGGCTTCCAGGGACACTAAATTCATCACCTACAGTACTATTACTTTATAAAGAAACAGATTAAGTGTCTCATAAACAGTGCAGTGATTGAGATAATGGAAAACGCCTCTCGTCCCCATCTGCAGCATCAGGTTATGAA